CTCTGAAAAATTGTCTATCACTTCTATTGTTGTTGGCCGCGGATCGTCTGCTTCTAATTCGCTACTTGAAAGCCTCAGGTCGTCTTCTAAGTTGTTCAGTAGGGCAATCTTTTCTTCTTTAGCCAAAGCCTTCAGAGGTTTCTGCCCACCACTCTCTCCAGGCATTGTGCGATGCTTGTGTTTATCTGAAGTCTGCTGTTGATAAATTTACTAATGCAATTACTAGTAATTTTAAGATGAATACTTATACTTAAAAACTTTGTCAGATGTTGTGTGAATATAATATTGTATATTTTTGTGCCTTTGCCAAACAAAGTTTATATGAAACCTTGGTTCATGGAGAGTGTATCTGTAAGAATGGATAAGCTAAAGTTTAAAAAAAAAATGTAATCCTTTTGAGTTACGGCAAATATTCCTTGAGAAAATATCTGAGTACCATAAGGAAAATGTTATTCATATGTACTGTGATTGTTCAGTTAATGGGTATCGGGCCGTCTGTGGCATTGTTGTTAGGGAATTTTTTGAGTATGGTATTGGTGTTGAAGAAAAAATATCCAAGAGAATTGGGGATAGAAGTTCCAGCACCACTGCTGAACTTTATGCTGGAGATTTTATGCATATCTATTTATTGTATACATATGTGATTTATGTTTACGTACAATATTCAAGAGCTCTTGTCAAAAGTAGTTTCGGGCGGGGTATTATATATATATATATATATATATATATATATATATATATATATATATATATATATATATATATATATATATATATATATATATATATATATATATATATATATATATAATTTTTTTTTTTTTTAAACGAGGATTACCCCACCCGGACACAGGTCACTGACCCACATCAGGGCCTGGGGGGCGAAAATATAATAATAATAATAATAATAATAATAATATCTATTATCATTATCATAACAACAGTTAATACAAATACAAATAAAATAATAATAATTCTAATAATTACCATAAATAAAGGCAAAAACGAAAAACTAAATCAAGAGTGAGAAACGATATACATAATGTATGTTGTGTTGTCTAACCAGCTCCTTTTGGTGCATTTGTCAATAAATGATTTGAATTTGACTAAAATGCTAATTGTCATATTGTTCTAAAATTCGTGTTTTTGTTTTGTTTTTATTATTCATATACATATTCTCCTCGGTGCAAATAATTAAAAAAAAGTGGACTAGAAATTAGCACGTTAAAATAATTTATCAACGGCCCAAATGTTTTTCGTACGGAAGGATTCAAATTCAAAACTTTTATTACCAAACATACAGATTAATTACTCCTGCAATAGGAGTAGTTTAAAAAACTCGTTGGACCACCCAAGTGGATGAAGAATCCAGCCACTCAGCCTGTGTGAACCTGCTCCACTCCCACTAATGTGGGAGGGAACAGTCATCAATGCCCATTAGCAAGAGCTAATGGGCCGCTTCCCGCTCACAGGTTCACACTGAGACTCATCCTCGTGGTTGGATTCATTCCAAGTTTCGGACAAGGAACTCGGTCATCACACTATAGAATTGATCCTATGAAGTATGATCATACTTATTACTACTTAACCAACGGGATCTGTCACACCTTACTGCTGACTTGATAGCTTTCTATAGGTAGGCTCAGTAAATATGTAAATAAATGTGTTGCAGCTTTACTTAACTCCTATACTCATGTATAAAGCTAAATATGGGATATTTTACAATATATGTATTCTATTGTTATAGGTTGCCATTAATATTATTTAACGTTTTTGGTAAGTTTGTAAGAGGTAAAAGTACATCATCTGAGTAATTCAGATTTCGGATTTGCCCCCGAGGGGGCTAGTTTATTGGGCACCCCCTTACATCCTGTGCAAGGTGAAGCGCAGAAGCGTTTACAGCGCATCAGAGAAATTATTTTCAATAATTAATTATTTATAATGACGAAATTTTTTATCTTTTGAACTGTTTAATTGATTGATTGATACGTTTATTGAGATACAAAAAACATCATCTATTTTCCTATTTTTAAACATCCATCCTATTTGCATGGGGACATTATTTATATGGGCATTTCTATATACATTAAGTAATGGGCATTCCAGTATATAATGTGGCAGGGTATGGGAACTGGATGTTCTACAAACTCTACATTCTTTATCCTGTTCACTTCTCTCAGCTCCAAGTTCCCAATAATATTTATATCCTAATCTTAACCTCATATACACTGAATCTTTCCACCTACTCCTATCTTTCCCATATGTAAATTTTGTGTTCATGAGAACATGATGGTAATGTTTCATTGTTTCACTTTTCTCGTATATTTCATTCCTTTTGAAATTATCTTCTATTGATTGTTGATTGATTGATATGTTTATTGAGATACAAAAAAACATTAATACATCTCAAAGGGATGAAGTGACATAAGTCATCCTCACCCCAGTCCAGGAATGTCCCTCTCAGGACTCACATAAATCCCTAATATTTCATATAATTAGTTATAATACATAGTTATATTCTAGATGCAAAATTTCTATATTTCTTTAATATTTCATCTATTTTCCCATTTCCAAACATCCACTCTATTTGCATGGGGACATTATTTATATGGGCATTTCTATATACATTAAGCAATGGGCATTCCAGTATATAATGTGGCAGGGTATGGGATCTGGATGTTCTACAAACTCTACATTCTTTATCCTGTTCACTTCTCTCAGCTCCAAGTTCCCAATAATATATATATCCTAATCTTAACCTCATATACACTGAATCTTTCCACCTACTCCTATCTTTCCCATATGTAAATTTTGTGTTCATGAGAACATGATGGTAATGTTTCATTGTTTCACTTTTCTCGTATATTTCATTCCTTTTGAAATTATCTTCTATTGATTGTATTTTCCGTAATTTGCTCCTTAATTGCTTCAAGGTTTTAGTACATATTATGTCGATCTCGGCCTTTTCCGTGGCTCTTTTTGCTATTATATCTACTGCTTCATTAAGACCAATCCCCACATGTGAAGGGACCCATACAAATTGAAAATTATGGCCATTTTTCTTTATTGTATTTACTAATTTTCTACATGAACCAATAATGTGTCCAAAGACTGGACTCCCACTGTTCAAAGAATCCAAAGCTGCCCTACTATCAACAAAAAAATATGCATCTTTATACCTCTTTACAACATTTTCCAGTCCTACTAACATTGCATATAACTCAGCTTGTGTTGATGAAATAAAACTGCTCAACCGAAGTCCAATTTTGATGTCATCATTTCCTTGTTCTGCGTTATGAAACTTCGTTATATAGATATATATTTCTTATAGTTAGCCCGTAAATTTGATTCTCTTTTCCTTATACATTATAGTAGAAATTCAGAATTTTATCGTTTATGATAGAAAGTATAATCAGATGTAAATTTACTAAGAGTGAATCCTTTTAAAGTTTACACAATATTTAATTTAATTTGTTTTTATAAATGTAAAACTGAAAATTTACTAAAATACAAATCTTTTTACAATTCCATTGTATATTTACATACAAATTAAGATTTTTAAGATTTCGATAAAACTATTTCTATATAGACATGAAATTTACGGTTCCATTTGTCAAAAATTATCTTTTTAAACTTTATCTTGAAGGGGATCTCCTCTAACGAGTAGAGTCCTGTAATAACCGATCATAGAAATAAATAAGTGTTCGTGTAGTGCAAGTCAAGGATAATAAATGTATATTATAGACCTTTGTATATTATATCATTGAGCTTCAACAATGAATGTTCTTAACCCGTTGTAAAGTTATTAATTAATACGCCAGTAAAACCGATAACAAATTTTGAGATAGAAACCGATAAAAAATTATGAGATAGAACTCTGTTTCTCTTGTGTTGACTTCGATAAATTGAGATTATTTCTATTGACCACTTTACTGTTTCAGGACAATATTCATTTCATTTGAAATTTTCATTATTTTTTTTTATGAGGTTCAGCCCACCCGGGCACAGGTCATTGACCCACATCGGGGCCTGGGGGGTGAAAATGTATTAATAATAATAATTCATAGTAAATACAATCTATAGATTCAGATTTGCCCCCGAGGGGGCTAGTTTATTGGGCACCCCCTTACATCCTGTGCAAGGTGAAGCGCAGAAGCGTTTACAGCGCCCAACAGGGAAGTATGAAAAGTTCATTAAGGGCGTAAAAGCCTGAAGGGTCATAGGTTCTGTCAAGTTACATAAAGTGAGAGAATGATGTGTGTGTGGGGGGAAAGTTCCCGGTACATTTTATCTGTTTATGGCAGAGTGGCAGTTCCTAATAATGTCAAATGCCAGGCCTGTGACTAGGAGGAGGGATATCTGGTCTGGGAGGGAATAGGTGTTGGTAACGGCTGGGGGACCTATAGGAGGAGGTCATAGGGCAAGTGAGGATGTAGTGAGAGAGGGTGTGAGAGTCGGGTTGGCCACAAAGTTTACAAACAGTGCGGTGAGGCTCAGGGTTGCCAATCTACTCCCATAGGTACCTGTACCCTAGGCGCAGTCTCATGTATATAAGCAAACAGTTAAAAAGATAAAAAATTTCGTCATTATGAATAACTAATTATTGAAAATAATTTCTCTGATATGCTGTAAACGCTTCTGCGCTTCACCTTGCACAGGATGTAAGGGGGTGCCCAATAAACTACCCCCTGGGGGCAAATCCGAAATCTGAATTACTCAGATGATGTACTTTTACCTCTTACAAACTTACCAAAAACGTTAAATAATATTAATGGCTATCAAGTCAGCAGTAAGGTGTGACACATCCCGTTGGTTTACAAGTATAAAGTATGATCATACTTCATAGGATCAATTCTATAGTGTGATGACCGAGTTCCTTGTCCGAAACTTGGAATGAATCCAACCACGAGGATGAGACTCAGTGTGAACCTGTGAGCGGGAAGCGGCCCATTAGCTATTGCTATAGGGCATTGATGACTGTTCCCTCCCAGTTTAGTGGGAGTGGAGCAGGTTCACACAGGCTGAGAGGCTGGATTCTTCATCCACTTGGGTGATCCAATGAGTTTTTTAAACTACTCCTATTGCAGGAGTAATTAATCTGTATGTTTGGTAATAAACGTTGTTAATTTGAATCCTTCCGTACGAAAAACATTTGGGCCGTTGATAAATTATTTTAACGTGCTAATTTCTAGTCCATTTTTTTTAATTATTTGCACCGAGGAGAATATGTATATGAATAATAAAAACAAAACAAAAACACGAATTTTAGAACAATATGACAATTAGCATTTTAGTCAAATTCAAATCATTTATTGACAAATGCACCAAAAGGAGCTGGTTAGACAACACAACATACATTATGTATATCGTTTCTCACTCTTGATTTAGTTTTTCGTTTTTGCCTTTATTTATGGTAATTATTAGAATTATTATTATTTTATTTTATTTGTATTTGTATTAATTTTATTAATTGTTGTTATGATAATAGATATTATTATTATTATTATTATTATTATTATTATTATATTTTCGCCCCCCAGGCCCTGATGTGGGTCAGTGACCTGTGCCCGGGTGGGGTAATCCTCGTTTAAAAAAAAAAAGATTGCATATATATATATATATATATATATATATATATATATATACTTCATTTTTAGTCCATTTAACACGCGGATTTTGAACATATAATCAACGACTTCACCAGCAAGGAATCGAACCCTTGACCTACTGGGTGGGACTAGGGAACGCTTACCGGCTAGCCCACAAGACACTAAAAGCAGTTCTAGACTGTTATATTTCACACAAAGCCTGTTCATCGAGCTGATGGCGCCGTGAACCCATTGGGAAACTGCCCGTGCCTCGTATGTGGTGTCAGTAGCATTTTACCGAATCCAGCTGGTATGAGCAGTGTGTGTGGTTGGTTTTAGTCCGTATAACAACGGACTTTGAACATTAATGTCAACGGCCTCACCATCCAGGAATCGAACCCTCTGACCTGGCTGGTGGTGTGTGTGGCGTTATGATTATGTTCAAGACTAAAATAGTGTACTGTACATATACATACACACACACACACATACTTTATACATATACGTCGGTCAGGATTCATGTGTTATGTCTTTTCTGCAGATCTGGAAAGGGGTTTATGCACAAAAATAGATAATATTCATCGACACATATATGGGGTCAGATTCATGTGGGTATGCAACTGTTCGCTGCCATGCAGGACAGAGTTCGTGCACAGAAATCATCATATTCATTGCGGTATATATAGGTCAGGTGGATCATAATTTAAAAAGTGGACTGAATTAGCACGTTAAAATAATTTATCAACGGTCAAATGTTTTCGTGCGAAAGGTTTTCAAATTCTTAGCTTTTTGCATACAGATAAGTTCTCGTAGGGAGTAGTTAAACTCATGGATCACCAGGGTTGGATGAAGAATCAGCCCTCAGCGCTGTGGACCTGCTCCTCCCAATGTGGGAGGAACAGTCATCAATGCTTGTTGCAGAGCTATGGGCCGCCTCACTCCTGGGTTCTACTGAACTCATCCTCGTGGTTGGATTCAGTTTCT